CCCTTGTCCCTGGCAGATCCACTCGGACTCGGATGAGGGAGACGGCTCCATCAAGTACACTATCTCCGGGGAGGGCGCAGGGACTATCTTCCTCATCGATGAGATCACAGGTGACATCCATGCCACCGAGCGCCTGGACCGGGAGCAGAAAACCTTCTATACGCTGCGGGCTCAGGCCCGCGACCGGCCCCGAGTCAGAGTTCATCATCAAGGTGCAGGACATCAACGACAGCGAGCCGCGCTTCCTGGAGGGGCCCTACATCGGCAGCGTGGCTGAGCTGCCCCCCATCGGTAGGTCTCCTGGGTGGGAGGAGGTGGGGTGGGAAACCTGCGCGCCTCTCCTGTCAAACGTTGAGCCCACTGTACCCCACAAAACTGCCTGCAAATCCTAGGGATTCCAGCTGAGACCAGAGCTAGGGAGCCAAAAGGGAAAAATAAATAAGGCAGCTTAAGGAAAACAAGTGAATAAATCCTCTGAGCTGATTGCCAGCCTGTGGCTGAGCGCTCAGTCTCAGCCCTAAGCTGTGCCCTGGAGACAGGTCGTGGCAGTGCCAGCTGCCTGCTGTGCGTTTACCCTGGTTTTGCACAGCCCCCTTGCTCCCAAACGCTGGGAGGGCAGCGGGGGACAGACCGAGCCCTTGCATGCTGAGGGGCTCACAGCTGCCTGCGGCTCACAGTAGCCTGAGTGGGGTTTCTCCCTCTCTGCCTGCCCCAGCCCCTCGGGACATCCTCTGTCTGCTGCTTTGCTGCCCTCCGGAGCCCCAGGCTGCCCAGCCATCCCCTTGTGCGTCCCCATGCAGCACTGCCGAGCCCCTCTCGCCTACCTTCTGGCCTTCCTCCAAGGGGCCAGGCGCTGTTAGCTGAGATTGGGGAATTCGTGTCCCCTGCGACAGGAGAGTGGCTTGCCTGTGTTACCGTTAGCCTACCCATCCCCTTGCCACCAGGCATCTTACGGTCCACTGGTGATCAGCCTCGCTGAAGTGCCGAGGGCCAGGCTGGGACATGTGCCATGAGGCTGCATGAGTCCATCCCGCCCAGGGATGGCGGAGGGGGGTAGTGAGCTCTGTGCTCACCTGAGCGTTGGGAGGGCTGCAGGGAGGTGATGCATGAGCTGCAGTATTGCTGGCCTGGTGGTGGGTTCCCATGCTGCTGAGCGCAGCTCGAGTCCAGGGAGAGCGGCTGGCTTGCTGCACTGGCCAGAACGTCACACCGTTCCCTGTGCACGTAGGGCTCTCTGTTGTCCCCCATTGATAGCCAGAGTGCGTAGCAAGCTGCGTGCTGGTATGCGCTGCAGTCAGGGAACTGTAAAGCACCGTTCTCCAAAGGCTGCATTAAGGGTAGAAGACAGCCTGCCAAAGCCTGGCTGACGTCAAAGATAAGGCAGGCCCCCAACACTCAGCAAGGGGGAGAGTGCCAGTGCCAGAGCTCCAGGAGCGGGGGCACCTGGCGGGGCCAGGGCTGGGGGAGCAGGGCTGAGCTGCACGAGGAGCTCGGCAGGTCAGGCGAACCGCCGGGTCCTGCTGTGCTTGTGCAGGAAGGTCTGGCTGAAGAGGCATCCTGGCAGCGGAGTGCAGAGGATGGTGCTCGGGTCTGTGCTGCCTCAGGACAGAGCTCTGGCTCTCCACGGTTGATATGCAGCATGTTGTGAGACTGGTGCACGGCCTCCAGCAGGTACAGATGTGCAGGAATTGCCCACACCAGAGGAGCTGCTGCTGCCTGGATGTCTGTTGATGGATGGAGCGCAAGCTCTCTTGAGGCATCCCAAGCTCTGCTTCCTCTTCCATTTACCTGCAAAAATCCTTTCCTGAGTCAGAGAGTGACCCCTTGAACTACAGCCTGTGCTCCTGGAGAAATGAAAGACAGCATGTGGGCAGCAAAGCAGGAGGCATCCTGTTCCCAAAGGGAAGAAAGAAATTAAATTAATCTATTTTGCTTCAACAACATTTAAAAAGGAAGGAATTCTCGACTCTGAGTATTAGACAAGGATCCCAGTTCTTTGAAAATCACTAACAATTATGGAGCTGCCTGATCAGGCTGATGCGAACAAGACGTATCAAAGGAGACAGTTTCTATGCGAAATTGGAGATCAGAGGGAGAAAGAAACACGGTTTCACAACATGAAAGGAGGCGATTCCTGCAAATTAAAATACTCAGAAGTTAAAAGTAGAGAAGTGCTGTGAACGGCGTGGGCTGTGCTTCCAAGCGGCATGCTTAGAGAGCTGGAGCCAAGAGCCTGTTCTGCTTACCAGGCTGATGTCTGCCTGCGACAACCTTGGAGCTTTCTGTAGACTGGCCATCCCAGGGAGCGTAAGGGCTCCTCTGTAGCAGCCTAGCCCTGGAGATGGCCCAGCTAACAGGGTGCAGAGAGCTTCACACAGCATCTTCAGGTGGTGCTGCTGCACGGTCCCCTGCAGTATGAATGCGGAGCTGGAGGGTACCCACATGCCGCTGCTGCAATTCCCCAGCTCCCTCCTGGTTCTCCATCGGCTTACCAGTGCTTTGCCTGGGAACAGGTAGCACAAAGAACAGAGTGGACATGTGTCCATCCTGTGAAAGCGCAAACGAGCAAGCCTGAGAAGTAGCTTTCTCCTCAGCTCTCTGGGGTTGAGCAGCTGCCCTGCTCCCTCCACTGTGGCCCTGGTGTGGACACAGAGGGAGATGGGACTGGTCATGGACCCGGTGTGTGAAGTTCAGCTCCAGCTGCTGTAGGAAGGGCTGAGGTTGCAGGACATGGGATGCTGCCTGGGCCAGGGAGGTAAAGTTAAGGACTTTCTTATGGGAAATACTCTGCCAAGCCCTGTTTGTGTGGGAGTGCTCCTTTTGGGGCATCAAAGCCTGGTGCAGCTGTGGTCATGACTTTTTTTGTGGCTGGTATTTGTAGTGATGTTTGCTGTCTTTGAGCTGGAAAGGTAATCTCCCCTAGACCTGAAGGGTACTTTCATAAGAGTGAATGGGGAGCATACCTTGCTGCCTTCCTGAACGTGGATGGAGGTGATCCTCTGTGCTGGCCAAGCAGGGGTAGGAAGGCTGGGCAGCTTGGGCAGAGCTTGGGTTGGCTGTTTGTACATCAAGATCCAGGTCGAAGCCTGGGGACTTGCTGGCGAACATGCCTGGTCTCGGCTCCGTTTGGGTGCAGATGTTTTCCTGGGTCACTAGTGTCACTGGTTCAGCTGTGCTCTCCGCTGGGGAAGGGGCTGGGATGGGGCCACCCCAGGAGGCAGGGCTGCTCTCCAGCTTGGCGCTTGTTTGTAGGGAGCTGTTCGTTCCCTGTCTCTGCCGCTCTGACAGCCTTTGCTCTGTGGCCCAGCCTGAAAAGTGAAGGGCGACCTCCTCCTTCCTCCTCTCATGCTCCTGCCTTCCCAGACCTTGTGCTGGGGTTTGTGCCTGGGGCTGCCCAACTGGGTGGTTTTTCTTCTCACTCATGGCAGCTATCAGCTGCAGCTCCCCATTCCCTGCCAAAAGCATAGTCCGAGCTCCCAGAGGTGGGTACCTTCCTGGGGTATAGAATAAATTTATTACAGGAATAAAACAAATACGGTCAGATCTGCTCTGTGACAGCAGGAGCAGATCAAAGGACATTATTTGCATAATGAAGGAGTACTAATTGGGAGGGAAAGTAATTTGATTTCCTAGTGTCTAAGAGGGAGTAACAAATGAGAGAACTGCACAAACTCTCACAGAGTAGCCAGGAGTGCTTTGCAACACACCTGCCCCTTGATCTGCACTGGGGCCAGGGCAGCACATTTTAGTAGTGACAGCATACGTGCTGCTTGAGACTGTAAGACTAAGTCAGGGTAGACTAAAGTCCTTTTTGTTCCAGGATCTTGTCTTGACAGTGGCCAAAGTGGATAATTATGGAGGAGGAGAAACAGCACGCACAGCATGTGTGATGTTCTTAATACTCTCCCAGCCAGCAACCAGTTTCAGCTTGGGGATTTCTCGCTCCCCCTGTGCCTGCTGCCAGGTCAGGACAGCTAGCTGCTGTGCATGCATGTGGGCTAGCCAAGGAGCAGTCTGTCTGCAGGATGGGGCCTGACCTGCAAACCCTGTTGCAGCCCCACTGCTGTCCTGTCACCTCAGGAAGAAACTATGGGATAAGAGCTTGCAGGCTGCTCTGTGTTGGCACCTGAGGCTCAGCCTCTGCATGGGTACCCCAGTGCAGATCATTCCAAAATGCCTGAGTTGAGCAGAATCTTGTACCAAAGGAAGAGACCTGGAGCTGCAGAAGAAGGTAGGATGGGACCCAGCCAAGGCTCCTGGGAACCGCAGGAGCTTCACCTTCTAACAGGAGATGCTAAAATTAGCTGTGTTTTGGGCTCCCTTCCTGAGCTCCCTGGGGTCTGCTTAACAGCTGTCTGCCGCACACAGGCATGAGCCCAAATCCAGCACACACTGCCTCCTGCAAGGCAACTCCATTGGCTGCACAGAGTGGATGTTGCAGTGCAGAGCTTGCTTCTGGGCGGTTTGGGGAGCATCCAGAGCCTGGAGTGAGGGACATGCTAGAAAATGTGCATCCTTTCATCAGAACATCACTCCTCCCTTCGTGCATTTTGCTCTCCTTATTTCTCTGTGTAGCACCAAGTCCAGATTAGAGATGATTTGGCTGTACAGACAGAAACTTGGGGTCGAGCCCTGACTCTAGCACAAAGCTGGCTGAATGCAGAAGTGATTATTGTGGAGAGAAATTGTTTAATCTCCGCGCTGGAAGCAGAGAAAAATACTTTGCTTAACATGCAGCCAGAACACTTGCAGGAAGTCTGATCTTTTTTTTTTTTTTTTTTTTTTTTTTTTCCCCTTTGTTAACAAACTGTCAAAATTTTTTTTTTTTTTTTTTTTTTATTTTCCCCCTTGATAGACAAGTGCTCAAACCACTTGTGTGCATCTGGAAGCTGCTGGGGCACCAAGTAGCTGGGAGCTGGGGCTTGTCCTGCCCGTTGGTCCTCAGTGAGAAAACCTCTTCCCCTTCAGTGCTGTGCTCTTGGTCATGGTGCAGGCTCTGAGCTGCCCACCCTGCACATCTGAGCAAGTGCTACACCCTCTCTGCATCCAGTCTGCATGTGCTAAGCCCCTCAGGGAACCTATGCCCCCTTAATTTAATGCGTTGGTTTACTCCCCAAGACGCCACATTTACCTGCTTGGTGCCAGAGGCTGGGGTGCCTTGTGCAATGGGTTTCTCTGGCCAGACACCCCAAAAGATGTGTCTGTAGTTGTATGTTTGAGTGGTTCCACCACAGCCAGGTTAGCTCTCTCAGGCTTGTCCTGCGGGGCATGAGGGCTCTGCAGTGAGTCTC